AAATTTTATGTAAACATTTATTATAATTATTGAATCTTTGCATATTAAGTTCCTGAACACTTTTGCCAAGCAGATGTAGCTTGAACAAACAAGAGTAAAATGTTTGTGAAATGTACAAAATATCATCAATAGTTGGACTAGCCTAGCATAACATTTATTTTGTTATGTAATATACACCTATTTGCCCATACTCAGATTTGAAAAGCCTTTATTTGAAATATCTCACTGATTATCAGAAATAAGACATTCAGGGACTATTTTTTGTAGATCAGATACATTTTTGATAACTGCACAAAGAATTATGATTTTCCATACGTGCGAATATTTTGATCATTTTATATTACCTATACTTACATTACTTATTGAAGAGAGCGTATATAAAAAAAAAATGAGTCAGCTGCGAAATACTCGATCACAGTCCTATGACAGCTTTAAGCAGGGTATCTGCCATTTTTATAAAGAGATACCTATTCTCGGGATTTCCAGTAAAATCGATCTTTACAGGAGCTTATCTTTTTAATCAAAATTTTAATGATTTTGCTCTAAAACTATCGCAGATACAGATAAAGCGATATAGTTTCAACCCACGGGTATAAGACAGTCTATATTCCAAGTCTCATGTATCTAAATTTAATATGGTTTATCGGATAGCCGAATGGAAAGCCGAAGCACAGAACCAATATACTCTTTTCTCTTAATAAAAACAAGTGAAAATATGAAATGTTTTATTTTAAGATAACCCGAAAGTATGCATCTGCCTAATGAAAGTAACTATGTTTTTGCTAGTTAAAATAATGTTGGAAGTCAACTTTGCACTTAGCTGCTGGCAAGTTGACATGAAAGACAACTCATCCATGGCCATATGCACCATTTAAGCGCCTTTAAGTCGACTATAAAAAAGTTGGGCAATTCGTAAGTCGCATGCAAATTACAGGCAATAAAACGAGGCACGTCGATGCTCAGGCAAACTTTGGAGGCTAAGAGCCAGAGATACTCACACAAAACGCGACGCCCCCAAGCCAAAGCGATTATTCTTTATTGTTTAGACAACGATGGCAAGAACAACAACAACAACAGCAACAACAATAACGCCAACACCAACAGCAACAATAACATGAAACAGCCGCTTGTAGCAATTCTCACATCATACGATTGGCATTGAGATTGCGTCTTGGTATTGGAAATTCCCAAGGCTGTCATATGTAAGCACAGCTAGACAGGCACATGGTAGGAGACACACACGCATGCTAGGAATATGTAAATTTGTCATCGAGCAAACAAAAAAGGAGTGAAATAATCATAAAAATGTCAAGTCAGACAACGAGAGTATCTCCCAGCTCGGAACAAAATCCTGAATTGAATTTTTATCTATTGTATTGGCAATAAAGACACATTGTCAGCGCCTGTATAAAATTATTATTATTTACTTTTGGGCGGCTGCGGCAAAAAGTTAAAAAAAAAAAATGGAAGGGCTCAACCGGGATTTGAACCCGGGACCTCTCGCACCCAAAGCGAGAATCATACCCCTAGACCATTGAGCCGCACATGTTCAAAGTAAATTTTAAACAAATTTTATATTTTTAATTGCTGCAGCCAACTTGTAGATACATCTGGCATGCATAATTTATTTAAAATATCAACATTTAAATTACGAACATATACAACTCCAGCCGGTTTATTTATATTGTTTCTTTTGTGTTGCTCGTTTTTTTAAACTGAAGCGCTCGCCGCTGTTGCAAATTTTGTTTTTGCTTTTGTTTTTATTAATCGTAGGTTTTAATATATTTTACCCTTATCATTTGGCCGTTGATTTATTGACTTTTAAATGGTGCAGTTTCTCAACACGCAGCTGACTCATCAAATTTGTTTTGTCTTCTCCTTTTTGGGCATGCTTTTAATTTAATTTGAAAAGTTTTGCCTGCCCATTTGGCGCATTAAACCCTTTGACCTCCATGCAAAAAAAATCCGCTGAACAAAAAAAAATCAAAATGAAAAATAAAGGCAAAAGATGTCTCATAAATAATTATGATAACTGTCAGAATTTTGTGCTATGCTTTTGGCACGCTACAAATTGCCACGCCCTCGCAATTACCCACACTTGCGTGCAAATTCAATTAAACGGTTTTAACTTTTAAGCCAACCGAAGAAAAAATCTTGAACTAAAGCTGGTAAGTTACCTAATGCTGCCTAGTCGGGTTAAAAAGCTAAATTGCTTTAATTAAATTGCTAAAATTTTCAGACAGCCAATCTGCAGAGTAAATCCGATCGTAATAGGTTTTTGTGTTAGTTAAATTGTTGAAGATCCACACAATAATAAAAATTATATTAGGTTATATTTTTTTATATTTTATATTATTACATTATATATTATTATGCCATATTATTAATATATCATATTCATATTATTGGTAAGAATACCCCTAATATTTGAAAAATGTTAAATTTTATCAAAATCCTTTTTGATTTTATTGACTATCTACCTTCTAAATTAATTCAGTAATTAAAATTAATTACCAATCAACCAAATCAAATAGCGTCTTCTTACAAAAAACGGAAAATGGGGCTGAACTGAGCTTGGCTGCAATATTATTGGTTCGATCTTTAGAGGAGCTAAGGAGGTGTTCAGCTTGGGTACTTTAACTTTGAAAATTAGCGATTTTTGTGGTTTTCTCGCCTCCAAATCTTCACCTTGTGGCAATAGAGTATTAAAATTATGAATTTTCTTGAAAAACCAAAAGCGAAGTAACAAAATGCACGACTTACAATATTTGACAAACAATATATAAAGTTGTCTTTTAATAACACTTAAACAAATTAAACTAGCCACAATTTTATTGATAGTTCTTGGCTCAAATATAACCCAAATAAAATTGTAAGAAAAAACGTTGGAAGATTGCGATCTGTCTTAATTTTTTAAATTTATATGTCATACATTATATTTATATTAATATTAGACGCAAAATGAAGTAAAATAGTGTTTAGAAAATTGTAATATTTGTCTATGCTTTTTAAAGCCTTTGCAGCTTGTGTTTTGTTGGCCTTTTATTTTTTATTGTTGAAAGCTCAAGTTTTGTGTCGTTATAAATCACGAAACTGAATCCAAGGAAGATTTATGAGCTGCTAAATATGCTTACAAAACAATGAGGGAGGATTTGAACTGGCCGTTTGCAAACTTCTGTGTCGTCGATGGCAAAGCTTAGCCCAACTTTGTGCACATATGAAAATTTAAAATGCAATTATCATATATATTTTATATGTGTGTATGGATGGATCTATGTATGTATTATATACAGTATGTGACGCCTCTTAATGTGAATGTATCTTTGTCGCTGTTGATTTTCACTTTCGCAGATAAACAAAACAAGGTCCTAAATAAACACAAAACGGTCAAAACAAGGAGAAAAAGTTGATAGAAAAAGCCCTGACAGAGAAAAAAAACAAAAACTTGTTTTTTAATTGAAAATTAACAACAACAAAAAATGTATTGCCAATATAAATGGGATAGAATAAGTTTCTCTACTTTTGAGATGGAAGACTACATTGAGGCATTTTTGTGTATTCCATTTGTAGCTGAATATTACTCTTGTGCACCTCAAGTCAAGGATTATGAAAATTATTCCAATTAATGCACGAGCACTTTTTTTCCGCCAAGTTCTCGGTTCCCACTTAAAGGCCATTAACCATTAAAAAAAGCACAAGCAACTTTTACACTTTGCGTGCCAAAGGCAACAAAAGCCAACTACAACAACAAACTAACCGAAATGGCAACCAAAATAACAACAGCAACAAAAACAATAACAACAGTAAATAGAGTTTTCTTTATTTATTTTTTCAACAACTTTTTACCTTTTTCCAACTCATTTTCAAGTGCCTCGCTGAGCGCCACTTAGTTTGTTGTTGCTACTGTTTTCGCAGTGTTTTTGTTGCTGTTGTTGTTGTTGGGAAAAGCCATTAGAAAAAGGCTGCTTGAGTGTTAAATGGGTTTGGGTACTTGGGTGCTTGGATGGGGCTAGCATTGTTTTTGTTCGACTACGTCAACAAGGTCGAGGGTAAATGAAAGTTGGTCGATCACTCAAGCTTCCAGCTCCCGTGGCCGTATACTTGTGGTAAAGCTTTTCGGACTCTAGATATCTAATAGGCACATGAAGGTGCAATTATACTCTCGATTTACAAGCTAGTTGAATTAAGAAGCCTACTTAATCACGAAAATCAGGTTATCTTCGACAGAAAAATGAAATACCCTTGTAGAGAGTTGCCTTACAATTTTGCCACCATGTGCGAATAGTAAAGTTCGTAAAGGCTGAGTTTAATGTAATTATCTAGGAAAACAGAGTATTTAGCGATACAAGAAACTACTTTTCATCCGATCGATCTTATTGGAGCTATATGATATAGTCGTTCGATCCGGCCAGTTCCGACATACATGTATGAACTGCTTGCAACAAAAAAACGTACCGTATAAAAAGTAATTTACTATACGAAGCGATTTCGATGAACTTGTAGTTTAATAATCGTTTGATTCTGGTGGAACGCAAACATTTCCATTTATCAATTATATTCAGATTGATGTTCCCTACATACTCCAAAACTTTCCCTTAGATTTGGAGGCTTTTAAAGACGTTTAAGAGGAAGAAAGAAGTTTAAAAGAAAGAATTTCAAAATAAAAGTGAAACAGGAAATTCGCACGTCCAAAGGCAATGCAATTAAGAATTCATAAATTTTGTTTATTTATTTATCTTATCGTTGATATAATTTATTCTGGGACATTCAGTCGAAATGAGAGGTATTGCCCATACTAAACATGCTCTCATTGGCAGTACATCGAACATTGAATGCTCTATAACTAGCATAGGGTTGCACTAGGTTGATTGTTCAATTAATTTATAATTTAATTTTTAATTTTGGTATGATATTCTTATTATTATTATTTTGATTATTTGTTAATATTATTTTTATTATTATTTCTTTTATTATTAATTATCAATATTATTCAGAAATATTTAAAATTTAATCATAGCGTTGAATTTCTCTCGTTTTTGTTGCTTTAGTGCCTCGTGCTTCTTGCGTTCGGCATTCTTGATCAGAATCTCTTGAAATTTGCGGCGTGTGGCTAAGGGAACGCCCGTGTTGCGCAGATCTAACTCTTCGAGCATCTTGTTACAGTTTATGATCTTCAGCAAGTGCTTGCCAAAATCCTGTCAAAGGCAAATTTCGGGATTTACGAATTTATTGCCAGCGTGCGCCACTCACCTCGCCCAGATAATTGTTAGATAGATCAATGCAGAGCAATGTCTTCTGCTGGCATATCAGCATCATGAACAACTTGGTAATGCTCTCGCTGATGGAACAGCTGCCCATGTCCAGTTGCCGGATGGGCATCATCTGCAGCGTGTTAAAGATGGCAGCGGCGCCATCGCTTTGTATGGGATTCAGGCGCAGCACGAGACGCTGCAGCGGCACATGGGTCAATGTTCGGCTGAGCGTATAGGCGCCCTCCTCCGCTGGTTGGAGTGGAGTGGTGGTTGAGCTTTAGCCAAGGAATTGAATATATCGAAGTGTCTACATACTAATTTTATTGTTGGTCAGGTCGAGAACCGTCAGAGTGGCAAATGATTCCTTGCCGCATGTTTCGAGAAAACAGCGTATGCCCGCATCGCCAACGGCACAGTGCAGCAGGGATAGCTCCTTCAGGTGATGACAGCCCTTGTCCAGGCTGTGTGCCAGAAAGCGCAGCTGATACGACAACAACTTCGTATTGTGTAGGCTAAAAAATCCACTTGATACTCGAATACAAGAGATTTGCGGCCTCGACGAAGGCAAAACTTACCAAAACTTGCGCAGCTCGTAGCATTGGCTAAGTCCCTTGGCCAGCAGCAGTATGTCACGGGCCGTCAGTTGATTGCAGCCTATTTGGTAATTGATGCCCGCTGTCTTTGTGCTGTAGCTCAGCCGCAGTCGGCGTAAGTCCGGCAGATTGCTCAGCAGGTAATCAAGCGGAATGTGATCTGTTGTGGATGGGTTGACACATTATGCTCTTGTTGAACGCATTGTAATTTAATGACAACGTTTGCAATCCTTCAAGTTTTTTAAATGACACTCCTCAAAATTAAGTACCACGCTAAATAGGAGTTACATTAAACAATCTGTATAAAACTGATATTTTTTTGTTTGTTTTAGCATTGATTATTTTTTAACCGTTTCCGGTCTTAAGTTAACTCTTACTACTATGAAAATGTAACACTTAACCAACATTTTGACTTTTCGAAAAGAGCGGAGAAGAGGTTGATGAGATTGATCATTTGAATCTGGAACTTTCTGCTAACCAATCGGGGAGCACATTTACGTTTAAAAGAGCACGGATATACGTCTCTGGGCTTGAAGCCGACAGAATAATAAGAAAAAAAGTTGTTTACAATAGTTTTCCGCTATTTTTCCACTCTTGCCGGTGGAATTTTCCAAGACCCCTCAGCGTGTACTTAAATGATATGAGAAAACAATTCAGCTTCCTTTCTTTTACATTTTTTGGCACTGTGTCGATCTACAATCAGTTAGTCAGTTTTCTATTCCACAAAATTGGGTGAGCAGGAAAGGGGTGAATTTAATGAAAAGTGTGAAACAACTGGGAAATGGATTCGAACAAAGATCTTTGGAATTGAAGCCTACCGAAATGGAGCCTCCGAAGACATTGGTGGAAAAATGGAAGAATAGGTGAATTACACAAAGTGAAATACGAAAAATGTGAAACACCTATCGAACAAAGATCATTGAAAATGGGTCTGAGGCCGACCGATTCTTCTTCTTCACAAAGTAGCTTTCCGCGGCTTTTCCGAACGTACGGGTGGAATTGCCGAAGATCTCGTCTCTCTGCAGCTTCATCACATCAGATAACTGTAGTTAAGAATTCAGACTTAACTTTTTGGGCTGTGCATTGATCCACAATCAGTCAGTCAGTCAGTCAGTCAGTTTTGTACACAGAGATTAGGGTATACAATCTCCACTGTGTCAACGGGCACTCACCATTGCTCTCGCCGCCTGGCGGCGGGGGCTGTAGTAGATTTATCTCTAGTTGATTTATGTACGACGCACAGATGTCCAAGGCGGCCTGCACATTGCCATCCTGCTCGTAGTCGCCGGTTTGCATATTTTCAATAAACTCCTGCACATGTCGCTCCATGTAAATGTTAATCCAGCGCCGTTCCATGCCCCGCGCCTGCATTGGCGCCATGCGCCAGCGTAGCTCATAGCAGCGCCGCCAGAAGTAATCGTCACGGATGTGAGAGCTGAGCAACTGCAGCGGCAGCTGCGTATCCAGCTGGCTGAGTATATAGTTACGGTCCTGGCGTCGTCGCAGCTGTCGGTAAAGCGGCAGCTCTGGGAACAGACAGTCAGACAGTCAGACAGTTGTCATCTTGGGTCTTGTGGACTCTACTTACCGTTCCAATTGCTTACGATGGCATCGAGCACAAGATGTCGCAGACTTTTCGCTTGATTTGCTTGGCCCTCGCCGGTCTCGGGCTGGAATTGGTCCAATGATTTACTATTGACTTGGGGCAGCTTGACATCGTTGGGATTGAAATAGGCCTTGAAGGTGTCAATAGAGACGGTGCTGGGGAATTCGCAATACGTGAAATCCATCTAAGGAGTTGTCTGCTCCACAAACAATAAACATTAAACAACATTTGTTACGAATAATTACATAGCTGTGGTTAGTCATGGAGACAGGAAATTGTTGCCCGGGCAACTCCTTCTTTGTTGTCAGTCCAGTGTTGGTAAGCGCGCAGAATAACTGTTGGAAAATTCCTGTTACCGTTTACCTAATATGAAATACCGATTCGATTACCCTTCGACCTTAGACCAAGCTGGATCTTAGAAGAAAGATCTTCTTTTTCTTAACACATTATGAGCAGAGTGAAAGCTTTTAAATACCAAGTTTTTCTTACAGGAACTTAATTGTCGACAGATCGTTCCTATGGCAAACATGCGATATACTTAGTAATCCAATCCATTCGGTTCCGACTTATGTAGTGCTGGCAACAGAATGACGTGCCTATGCAAGGTTTCATGATATTTTAAAAACTAAGACTAGTTTGTGGTGGACAGGTGGACATGGCTAGATCAGGTGGACAGCTATTGATGCTGATCTGGAGTATATGTACTTTATGGGGTCGGAGATGACACCTGCTATGCGTTACATATTTATGACGAAATTACAAAATAACAAAACCAAAAATACCAAATTTGGTGGGACGAAACTACTAAAGTCCTCTTCAAGATCCTTCTATTCTATTGCAAGGACTCGGCATATCAGTCAGAAGTGATGCAAACTCCTATTAATTCTCCCTTAGCTATGTATACTCGGCATATTATTTTATTTCGCATATCATAAATGATTTATGCATTTGCTAATTTCATTGATTTCTTATAGTATAGTAGGGGGTATAATAAATCCACCGTCAGACCATGTCCTAGGCTTGAGCATACCCCAATAAATTCATATCTGAAATATATAGTATGTTAAGATGAATTTCAACATATATGTTGACGACAAACCAACCTGATGCGTCGGGTACTTGGGAATTAAATACTCCATGCGCTGATGTCGCCTCAACATGCACTCTTGAAACATCCTAAACGTATCATGATCTTTTGTGTGGCATTCTTCTCCGTTTCCCCTGGTATAAAGGGTCTTTCGTAGATCCATCCAAATGGATCTGTTTCGGTGCGATGAATAGTATCTGTGGAGCTTGACCCAGCTCCTCACACCGGGTATATTATAGACTGTAGACTTTCCAACGCACACGTTATCCAATGTCCCGCTGTTTTTAAATAAAAAGGGAAAATCATTAGATTGACTCCAATGAAAATAATAGTTGCATAGATGGGTTAAAAGTTGCTCATTGAAAGCTATATATTATAATATTACACCATGTATGGAATAAAGGGAATTAGCAATGTATTTACTTGATTCATAACGACGTTAATTGGTCATCAAATTAAATAGTTGTACCTACTCGTATGGGCGATAATTTATGGCTGGTTTATTATCGACTATAATCCGTGGGATGGTAACGAGCGAGTTGGCGTTAAAGCGCGTGTCCTCCCACACTTTACCATAAGTGACACCCCACGGATTGAAGACCCAATTTCCCATGGCATCGGTTTTGAATCTGGGCACCGATACAGTCCATTCGCCGGCAGTCTTTGCACTATTCGCTCCCTTATTTCCGTCTCCACCAGCACCTCCGCCGCCTGCTGCACCATTGTTTGTCTGATCATCGCCCTGTCGCATCATATGTTTGATGAATTTGGTCAGTTCGGTCGAGCCTGTGGTAGTCCGAGCTTTATGATTCTGAAACATTCGTATGTTATGCCTGTCTTCTGCGACTTCATGATCGTCTAAAACTTTTGTATTGGGCGTAGAAATATTTTGTCGAAGCTTTGTTCCGTTTCGCTTTGTATTATTGTTTGCAGGATTTTTCAATGGATTGGCGTCAACATTACCGAAAATAATTATCTATTATCTGTGAGGAAATTCAAGGCAAAATTATGATAGATTAAGCTACTTACATAAACTAGACAGCCGAAGGCAAATATTATAAATAAATTTAGCTCCATGTTTCTACTAAGCCCTGTGGTTGCCTACAGTTTTGAACAAACATTAATACAATTTATAACACAACGAGTAGCTGAAGCAAAAGCCACAGAAAACTAGATGGAAACAAATATTGCACTGAGCATGACTACAATCTACAGTTGACTCTGGAGAATCTGTCAAACTTGAAAGTATTAAAAATGAACAAAACTCATCTGGAGACGTCATCTTAAAAGCTGCTTTGCACTGAAGTGTGATGCACAAATATTCATTCCCTTTACTAACGATATAAAAACATTAAATTTTAGATCCGTGTATTCTGTGTGCTCATTAGATATGATATCAATTGGTATAGATTTGGGAGAAATACATATGGCTATGTATGACTTGATAAATATGTGGTCCTTGGCTGCCATTAGAGAGCCCAAATTGTGAATAAAAAATCTCTGGCTTTTATGATCTCCGCGAACGTTGCCATCGTTTAGATGGCTTGGCTTGGCTGATGCTGATCAGAAATATATTCGCTTTATCTATGTTGTCTGTTGCCTTATACGTAGAATCGCCGGAATGATTTGTCCTAAACACGCTATAAAAAAAGAAAACAAAATAAGCGATACAATTCAATATATACAAGAGTATCCGCCCCAACAAATTCCCCTTTGTCAACCAGACAATGTCTGGGCGCATATTCGAAATGTGGCCAAGCGCAACGTTAAGTGCCATAAAAATAATTCAAAATAAATTGCTTTGCATAAAAATTGGTGCGTATTGTGGGTAAAGGCAAAAGAAAACGAAACTGTTTTATAAGGTAGGTTTAAGGTATAATTTGGTCATAATAATGCGCATCATGAAAATTTAACACACACACACACACACACATACATTCCCGGGCTCGCATAGACAAGCTGGGTTATTAATTTTGGCGTCGGATTTTTGCAGGGCCAACGTCGCAAGACATAAATAACGCGTTTTATACGAAATACTTTGCATATTTACTGGCGCCGCACAACTAAGCCATAAAAATTACAAGATTCTGAGGCGGCGAAGTCAAGAAGCTCCGTCATGTCAGCTGCGGATTCGGGGCTAAGTCGCAGGTAGATTTTGCGGTGTGAATGGCCACAATAAAAGCGCCCAAGTCAATATTATTGGCTAACTAAGGCCAGCTGGAGCGAAAGTGGCCCCAATGATTCCGCAGAATAAGCGCCCTGTAATGACATGTAATTATGGTCATAATCGGCTTGTCACTTGGGACATTATCGGCTCGCCCTAAAACGGTTTTGATATGCAAATGTGAAGCTTCAAGATAAACAGGTTTTACTTTACAAGCTGTGGAGTAGGATAAAGAAATAAAATACGTTAATCGGGCTGTATACAGTTTTTCTCTAGCCGAACTGAGATATCCGCGCCACAAACAGATTTTTAATGGAGTATAGCCAAATCCAAAATATATCGTCTTTGGGAAAATATCAGACTTTGGCTTCGCTTTCTTATCTTCCTGCACAAAGACTAAAACTCTCCAAGCAAGGTCTCAAAAAGATATACTTTTTGTAGATACACCTTGTTTGGAATGTTGTATATATCGATTAAAAAAAATTTGAATTATCTCATATTTATAAACGGATTGTCAGTTATATCATTGGGAACACGTCTATGAGAAGGATGCCACTAAATTAGCCACTTTGGAAAAGACGCAGTTAAAGCTGAAACCGAAAAAATTCATTTTAAACAATACTTATAGATACATACACCATACTAAGTTATAATAAAAGCAAAATATAAACATTTAAAGAATATTCTTTTTTAATTTGTTAAGCCAATGCAAATATATATTTATTTATTTATATATTTATTTCTCGAAAATTTTTATAATTTTTATATTTCATATTTCAACACAATACATTTCTCATTTAATTGTTAATATTATTATTTGTATATTCCCATTTAAATTGATGGCAGAACTGCTAAAACTTATATTGCATATTCAGGCCGCCTCCAAAATCGGACTTGCCTCTGAATGGTCCGCTGAGGTGGCGTGTAGCATTTGCTGTGGCATCCAAATTGAAATTGCCGCTAGGCGAGGTAATAAGATTGTCTCTGCCGGTGGCATTCATGCTTGTCATATTGAACTGCGGCACATGGTTGACACCCAGAGCCGCCGAATGGCCGCCAGCGGTTTGCATATTCAGACCGCCGCCAAATTGATCGTGAGTGCGATTGTGTGTGTGGTACGCGGTTGCATTTAGCGCTGCCTGGCTACTCTGGAGAAGATTCGCTTGTGCGGCGACCGTTGTGCTACTGCCGAAGCCTTGTGTGTGTCCATGCTGCAGCGATAGGCCGTGTCCATTGCTGGCAATCGAGTGAGCAACATGTACTAAGTGTTGTCAGTGAGTGAGTCTCTTGTGGCACTTACGCATTAACTGCTCCATACACGCCTTTTGTGACTGGTCCTGCGCTGCTGTTGGTCGTGGCAAAGACTCCGGCACGTGCGTTGACTTGTTCGTCTCCGGTCATTACTCCACATCTCACAGAGGCTGCTCCCGTCTTCGGATCTCCGCTTGTCTGACACTCCATTTTATAAATAATAATTAACTTGGCAGTTGTTGAAGCTGACGCGGTGATAATTACTCTGACGGCTTCTAGGGCAGCACGCAGCTTTTTATACATGTGCAGACAAAGGCAAAATATATGCAGATAAACATATAAAGCACAGACCACAAGCTCGGTGCATTCCCGCACACAATCTTTACACGCTTTGACTAATACAAATACATATATATATGGATAAATATCCATAAACATATATGTGCTTCCCCCCACATACGAATCAGTCTCCGTTCATATATTTCAATAAACTGTGCGCATGGATTCCCCTAAGAATATGTGAAATATACTATGTAAAAGTTATGACACTTTCTTATTACATTCTCTGAGATGGAATCACAATCCTTATACTCAAAATGTATTTTAAAAGTAGTAAAACTTATCGTAACTCAAAATTAACACTTATTATTAGACTCAATACTTATAAAACTTTCCATTGTAATATTGGTTTGCAAATATTGCTATTCGATTATATATAAAAATAATTCTTAAATTTAAAAATTCTTGCTATTATATATTTATAAATATATCAAATAATAACAAAATTATAAAATTCATAAAAACCAGACAGAAGCCAAATGCATATATGAGAGCATCATTTAAATATATATAAATTCCATACATCTATGTTTATTTTAGTATATTTGCGTTAACATCTAAAATAAATACTACTTGTGCAATTATTATCATTCTATTTTAATTATTTTATTTTTCACACTTGTGAATCACATATCTACTTAATTTTAAACTTTTATACAATTGTAACTGTTTGGTCAAGGTTCGTCAAGATGGCGCCGTGGCTTAGTTGGTTAAAGCGCCTGTCTAGTAAACAGGAGATCGTGAGTTCGAATCTCGCCGGGGCCTTCGCAAGTGAAACGCGTTGATTAGCCATTTTATTGCTGCGAGAATAACGAAACCAATTATTTTATTTTACTCTGCTATATTTTTAATCGAACTTTACTACAGTGTGAGTCTTTTATATTTGAATTTTCCGAGGAATCACATAGAACATTTTTTGTTATAAATGAAAAATGTGCAAGAAAACAATTTATGTGGCTTTTAATAAAATATATGTATATATATAATAATAACTTGCAAAAATGAATATTTAGTAGTTTTCGCGAGGCAGGCAATTGGCGCCGTGGCTTAGTTGGTTAAAGCGCCTGTCTAGTAAACAGGAGATCGTGAGTTCGAATCTCGCCGGGGCCTTGACAGCACTAAGCATTGATTGCTGTACATATTAATTTTTTTAATTATTTATAAAACTTTAAAAGCTGATAAGGTGTTTATTTTGTTCCCATATAACATATTCAGGGACTTGTTAAATTGCATGTACATGGTTGACGGAATGCATCTTTTGTCAAATATCTGACACACATGAGCCTTATAGATTTTACATTTCCCGTACCGTTCCCATCTGAGCCAGAACAAGATACAACAATTTGAAACGTTCTTGTGTTGCTTTTGTGCGTCTGCATTGATGACAGCTGACAAAGTTTGCGTGCTGCAAACAGCGGCCTCGAGCTCCCCTTTATGAGGAACAACATGCACGTCAGCCCACCCACGACACCATATACATTATCCTGCCAGCAGCTGCCACCTGTTGTTCTCGCAGGCGACACTGCATAACGGAAGCCAGAGACACTGCACGACGGATATGTTCGACAGCATGTTGCGTGACTGTCGACTGTCGGCTGGCCAGTTGGCGGTTTCTGTTGGCTTGGGGTTGGGCGGCTGGGGACCATTTGCTTTTGCGAATGTATCTCATGTCGTCGCCGACGGGCTTTCAATTATTACTCTGGCTGCAATTAGCCAGAAGCAACATTATTTGTGTCGATTTATTTGCAGTCGTTGGCTTATCTTTACTTTTTATACCCAAACGCACAAGACTGATACTTTCAGTCGAGGGGCTTACACACAATATCAGAACAATGGTTAAAATAATAAATATGTGCATCACAACTTGTGACAATTGCCAACCCAGAGTTGTATGTAACATATAATATGTGCATACACATTGTGTTATCATTTTTATGGATATAATTTCCAATGTCCTTCCTTTTGTGTGGTTGCCGGCGAGTCCCTTGTTTGTCGGATACAGCAATGTCCTCTTCTAATTTCCTTACAAGCATTATTATGTGAGTGTTGCTGACGATTGGGTTAATCTACGGGACGGCTGGCTGATTATTGGCGGATTACATCGCTCCCATTAAGATGAATAATAACGAAGAAAAATAAAGTTTGCTTCTATTATTATTTATTATTACCTGGCAACAGTAGGAAACCCGCAGACTAAATAGGCTTCACCTCCTAGACTTGACCACGGATTTAAACTAGGTTTCCTTTAAACAATCAACATTTTATTTTTCTATCTATCCATACATTATTCACTTCATATCACCTTCTGCATAATTTTGCTTTCCTTTTCTACCTTAAATACTATGAAATTCATTTTATTCACTTGTCCGTAACATTTTAAAGGTTATTTTCCAGTTATAAGCCCGATTGTTGTGCCTTCAATATGTCT